GAACCTATTTTTTCAGAACAAATTGACAGGGCAATCAATCTCTTTTTAAATTTTAAACAAACTAATGGATCGTTTGGCTGACCAAACGAAAGCCTATGACAATATGTTCGTATCACCAACGTCTGTCTTAATCTTTTACTCAAATTTAAATTTGAGCCAAAAAAAATTTAAAAATTTATTCAAACATTTGACTCAAACTTATTCCAAATTAAGAGAGACTCATTTTTTTTATTTAAATCAATGAAAACTCAAATCTTTATCCAAATATTTAATTGTAAAATTTCGCCCTTTTTTATAGATTCAATGATCATCTTTACTTTATTTTAAATTTAGGTTTATCTTTATTTAAATTTGAGTATTTCTTTCTTTAAAGTTGAGTTTGTCAATTGGACCTCTTTGTATCAAATCAAATTTTTTACTCACAAATTAATTTAAATTTAAATAAAAATTTGAATTATAGTTGGAGATGCTCTAAGAGCATCTCTAACTCAAACTCTAATTAAGACTTAAATTCTATACCAATTTTTCTACCGTAAATTTTTACTTTATCCAAAGTCCAAAAGACTTATTTGATGAGTTATTCTCTATCTCTCCGTGTCTTTCTCTTCTATGTTGTTTCCATCGCCAACTATTACCAAACCATTCCCGGATCCTTGGAAGATCTGTAGGTAAACTTATTCATTTTCATCTTCTATCTTTTTAATTTTTATATTTTTTAAAACTCTAATTACACTCATCTTTCATACTATATAAACCTTAAGTTTACTCATCAAATTTTTCTGTGATTTTTTTTAGTTAAATAATGTTGGTAGTGTAATTTTAGACCATCGATTCTTCCTAAAAATTTAAGGCTTCATTATCTACTATTTTATAAAATTAGTCATTTTATTTCTCTGATCATTCATTTTTGTTGAAAACGATCTCCTTTTTGTGTTCCTTAGACCAAACCATGTCAAAGTAATTCATTTTTTTTTCTTTTTCTTTATTTGGATTTACATAAGAAGATAAGGAATTAGAACATTTTGAGAAGTGTGGGATAGTTTTTTTTTTTTGTTCCCGAGTAGTGTTGTATCATTTATTTTTGGAGAGTTCATTTATATTCAATTTTTTTTTTTTTTGAGTTACTCATTTGTAGAGATATATGAAAGTTTCATTTATTTTTTCATTTCATGATTTGAATGATAACAAAAATGAGTTCTGAGACAANAAATTAATATCTAATTAAAAAATAAGGTAAAAAATACGGACTTCTCCAGAGTTTTGACAATATTATGCGGACACTCCTTGATATTTTATAAATAACATGGAGATCCCTGGAGTTTAAAATTTATTACACAGAGACCCCTTCTGTCTCCCTTCCTTTAATATTGCTAACGGAAAGTGATGATTTTATCCCAAAAAAAAATTATTATTTTTATAATTGCCTTTCTCCAACTTTAGTATCCAAAAAATTAAAAATTTAATAAAATAAAATAAGATTTGATTTAGTACCCAAAAAATTGATATAATTTAGTGCCCCAAAAAATTGATTAAATGAATTTTAATATTAATTTGATAACAATAAAAACTAATTTGATATTAATTCAACAAAGTTGAATATAAATTGGACAAAATTAAATATCAATTTTTGATAAAAATATATATTAATTTACAATTTAAGGTTCATTTCGTGTTGAATATTATTTGTTGTTGATTAAACCAACATGAAATTGACCTTAAATTATAAATTTTTTTGTTGTATATAAACTTAAAAATTTGCATTTTAACCCATAAAATTTAAATACATATTTTTTTATAGCATTGCGTATTCTCTCTTACTATATCATTTGATAAATTTTTTTTTGGTCAAGATTCGACCACACATACTTAAATCAAATCAATTGTTCACCCCCACTTTTTTTTTAAGAGAATCGCTCACCTCCATTTGTTAAACTCAAAAATCTCTAGTTTATATGAAAATAAGTGAAAGTAAATTAAAAAACTTAGTACCAAAATTATGACAAATAGAGCAAACATTAAAAAAACTAAAAAAATAATCTATAAAAAAACCATTATCAATGAGAATTTTAGAGGAATTTAGGCCCGGAATCAATTAAGACATAATTTCAAGCAAAGATGTAAAACTCAGATAAAAAAAATCCTCAAATCATTAAAAATGTGTGCTATTTTTTATTTACATTAAGTGTTATTTAAAAATTAAGAAGTAAGTGACAAAATACATGTTGTCAAATATATAAAATTTTGAATTAATTTTGTGGACTAAATAATTGCATAACATGTAGTTTTCATATGTTTTATGGAGTAAAAAATAAAAAAATATCACTTGGAAAACAGAAAAAATAAGATAATAATATGAGAGAGAAAGAGAGAGAAAAAAAAAGCATAAGATAGATATAAAGAGAGTTAGGTAAGCGATAGGAGTCTTAAAAAAATTTGGCATGAGAACCGTCAGATCAATAATCGTCAAGCGATCTAAGCCACGAAAAGTTAAAGACAAAGAAGTATAGCTACTTTATTATATAGATTATTTACTCAATTAAGTTCAATTTTAATAAAATATTTTGTGATTGCGTACAAAATCCAAAATGATATTTTATTTATTTGACTTACTTACCCTTCTTTAAATTATACATAATTTTTATTTTTCACTCTCTCCCCCAATTTCTCACGTCATTACTCTCTATCTCTCCATTAGTCTCTCTCCTATTTTCTCTCTCTCTTTCTCTCACTCTCTATCCCCCTATTTTCTCCCACAATTACTCTCTTTTCTCTCTATCTTTATATCAACATTACAACACACAATTACACCAATCAGTTATAATTACCCTATAATACACCAAGCAATTACTCATATATTCTAATAAACTAAACAGTTACATCAAATAAATACACAAAATTATGACACCAACCAAATTTATCATTCAATTATTTACATAAAATTAAAGAGTTATACCATTAGTATCACGATAATTATATCAATTATATATACTAAATTTGGTGTAATGGTAAACTCTTTTGTGTAATGATAAACTTAATTTGGTGTAACCATATTGTGATACTAAATGATGTAATTTTTTGATTTATATAATAACTGAATAAAAAATTAAGTTAATTTTGTAATTTCATGTAATTGTTTGGTGTAACTGTTTGATTTTATTAGAACACCTGAATAACTGTTTGGTATATTCTAGGGCAATTGTAACTAATTAATATAACTTATTGGTATAATTGTGTTGTTGTAATATTAATATAAGGAGAGAGAGAGAGAGAGAGAGAATAATGGTAACAAAAAATAGGAGAGAGAGATATGAGAAAATCAAATCAAATCTTTATNAGATGTTGTTTCAGTTGCATATCTGAGTGTATTTTGTTCATTTGGTGTCTGATTATCGTTTCAGTGTTATGGCCATCTTTCTTTTTTCACAATCGAATTAAAACCCTTCCCTCTCTCCAAACTTTTCTTGGCTCTGTGTAGAACCTAAAAAAGACAAATGCATAGACTATTTGACAAAATATTTTACTGGGCCATAAAATTGGTTGCATATAATCCGATGACTCACCATACGTTGAGAAAAAAACAGTTGTTTTACCAGATCTCACGTTTTTAACCTCTTGATTGGCTTCAGGAGAAGAGGAAGGGGAAAATTCCAAGGACATTATATTTTTTGTTTCCTATTTACATTTCTTGAATTTATTGTTTTACGCTTTTTACTGAAAAAGTATAGATAATTCTAAGCTAAAATTTAGATAAGAATGTGACAGTTTAGAACTTCCTTCCCTTTTGTAACTGGTGTCTTTTGGGAGATTCCTTATTGTTAATCTACACATATGGTCAGATATCCATCTAAGCATGCGTGCGTGAACATATCAGAAGTTTGAATGCAATCGCACACCTCCTTGGCTATATTCACTGCCTAACTTCTATCAAGTTCTTTTCTAGTCAGAAGTTGGCCACCTTAGAATTGTGCATCTTGAGCAAGCTCTCACACCTTTTGAGGGCTTTTTTATACCTTTCTTGATTACCATATCTGCTTGTCTGGACGCATACTCTGTGGAAGCATACTACGCCATGGAATTGATTTTTATACCCTTGTTTCCTCTATCATAGGTACTTGCAGCAGAAGGAAGAGAAACCCTTATCTGAGTGATGCTGTGCTACTGTTCTTTTGCTTTCCTGGGATCTGTAATCTTTCGGTGGTTTTTGCAGAAATGATCATTATCTTTGTATGAAAAAATTGTGTAATCTCATTTTGTAGCAATAACAACTAATCACCATAACGCGTTCTCAACTTATAAGAAACTTACAGCTTGAAGATCAGAATTGTTCGCAATGAAAAAGGTTGCTTTCTAATTTTTGAATCTGGTTTCTGAGGGCCTTACTGCTTTCAAGTTCTAGATTCAAATTGTTTTTTCATTGCTCATGTTCCATACTGGCTCCTATAGACTGCGTGGCTAGAGAACTTATATCAATCCCCATTTCTGCAAATCAACATGGAAGTGGCTCATCTGGAGCTATAACTATACCTAAAAATTCTTGCACTGACTACTTCTTGCATAGTATCTGGTTTTCTTCATGATCAGTTTGTGAAATCTAGAGTCAATGATTCAGCCGGATCCAGCCCTGTGCTCGTTGATTATACTAGACCAAATCACAGGAGGCCAAGTGGTTTATAAGCTAGATAGTGCTGATTCGGACGTATAAAGGCACATTTCATTCTCCACAATGGCTGCTTCATTATTTCTACACCGCAAGATTGGTTACATAGCTCGGATAACAATTTCACCTTTGTAGGAATAACCAATCCTTCATACATTTTTAGTACTGTTNTTCTGGGGTCCTGTAGCCAACTGGGGATTTGTGGCTGCCGTATGGTTCTCTATTAGAGCTAAATGATTTGTTAACTTGCTGCATAAGTACTTCTTGCAGACCTTGCAAATTTAAAATTGTTTGCTTTGTGGCAAAGTTATACTTTTGAAATCATATTTGATGGATTTGGCAGGGGCTGGTGGACATGCAAAAACCCCCAGAAATGATATCTGGCAACATGACTGCAGGTTGCATACATCTAACTCAAAAGGAAGCTGGACTTTGATGATTCAGATTCTAATTTATTTTCTTTTTATTGCTGCAGCAATGTGTGTGTATTCCGCTTTATTCATGAGATTTGCATGGATGGTACAGCCTCGCAACTATCTACTTTTAGCATGCCATGCCTCAAATGAGTCGGTGCAGCTATATCAGCTCTCCCGTTGGGCAAAGGGTCAGGGGTAAGTAAGTGAAGATGTTGTTTCAGTTGCATATCTGAGTGTATTTTGTTCATTTGGTGTCTGATTATCGTTTCAGTGTTATGGCCATCTTTCTTTTTTCACAATCGAATTAAAACCCTTCCCTCTCTCCAAACTTTTCTTGGCTCTGTGTAGAACCTAAAAAAGACAAATGCATAGACTATTTGACAAAATATTTTACTGGGCCATAAAATTGGTTGCATATAATCCAATGACTCACCATACGTTGAGAAAAAAACAGTTGTTTTACCAGATCTCACGTTTTTAACCTCTTGATTGGCTTCAGGAGAAGAGGAAGGGGAAAATTCCAAGGACATTATATTTTTTGTTTCCTATTTACATTTCTTGAATTTATTGTTTTACGCTTTTTACTGAAAAAGTATAGATAATTCTAAGCTAAAATTTAGATAAGAATGTGACAGTTTAGAACTTCCTTCCCTTTTGTAACTGGTGTCTTTTGGGAGATTCCTTATTGTTAATCTACACATATGGTCAGATATCCATCTAAGCATGCGTGCGTGAACATATCAGAAGTTTGAATGCAATCGCACACCTCCTTGGCTATATTCACTGCCTAACTTCTATCAAGTTCTTTTCTAGTCAGAAGTTGGCCACCTTAGAATTGTGCATCTTGAGCAAGCTCTCACACCTTTTGAGGGCTTTTTTATACCTTTCTTGATTACCATATCTGCTTGTCTGGACGCATACTCTGTGGAAGCATACTACGCCATGGAATTGATTTTTATACCCTTGTTTCCTCTATCATAGGTACTTGCAGCAGAAGGAAGAGAAACCCTTATCTGAGTGATGCTGTGCTACTGTTCTTTTGCTTTCCTGGGATCTGTAATCTTTCGGTGGTTTTTGCAGAAATGATCATTATCTTTGTATGAAAAAATTGTGTAATCTCATTTTGTAGCAATAACAACTAATCACCATAACGCGTTCTCAACTTATAAGAAACTTACAGCTTGAAGATCAGAATTGTTCGCAATGAAAAAGGTTGCTTTCTAATTTTTGAATCTGGTTTCTGAGGGCCTTACTGCTTTCAAGTTCTAGATTCAAATTGTTTTTTCATTGCTCATGTTCCATACTGGCTCCTATAGACTGCGTGGCTAGAGAACTTATATCAATCCCCATTTCTGCAAATCAACATGGAAGTGGCTCATCTGGAGCTATAACTATACCTAAAAATTCTTGCACTGACTACTTCTTGCATAGTATCTGGTTTTCTTCATGATCAGTTTGTGAAATCTAGAGTCAATGATTCAGCCGGATCCAGCCCTGTGCTCGTTGATTATACTAGACCAAATCACAGGAGGCCAAGCGGTTTATAAGCTAGATAGTGCTGATTCGGACGTATAAAGGCACATTTCATTCTTCACAATGGCTGCTTCATTATTTCTACACAGCAAGATTGGTTACATAGCTCGGATAACAATTTCACCTTTGTAGGAATAACCAATCCTTCATACATTTTTAGTACTGTATAAAAAAACGACATTGACATAGCAGTTTGAAACCAGGAGGCTATGTACAATACGTTTACAAAATGGATTTGCCAAATATAATTTTATTATTTGGGACGATAACAAAAAACAAAAATAAATGAAGAAAAGAGAAGACAAGCAATCTGATCTTGCCCACCTGCTTCATTTTGCAAGGTTACAGTTAGACACTCTTTGCTAACTACCCCCTTGAAAACTCAAAATTCTCAGCTCCTTTACCCAAGATGATGTGGCGCAGCAGCCGGCTATGCTTGTGTCCTGACCTTTTTTGGTGCATTATGTTCCCCGTATGAATTGTCAAACGTCGGCCAAGCCAAACAAGTGAAAACTCAACACTGTTAACCAGATCATGATGCATCAGTGCTCTCTCCTTTTGGCTTCTTGCTTTTTTTCTTGGATTTGAGCTTCTTACTCTCATTGTGCTCCTTAGATGCCTTTTTCCGTTTAACAGGCAACATATTTTCTTCATCTCTATCTTCCATCTCAGTCACGGTATGCGTTTCACTTGGTGATAGACGCGTTGCAGTACCAATAATTTCTGTTTAAGGAAGCTAACATGTAAGATCTTTGCAAACCAAAATGAGAACTTAAATGTGGCACTGAAAGGTCACAAGATTGTTAATTTGAAGCAACCTAACCACCACTGCAGAAAAGCACACCACAGAACAAGGGGGTGAAAGTGTATAATCATAATTGTAGCCTCAAGTTTAGACAGTTCTACATTGTCAGGGAAAAAAAGGAAATAAAATAAATGTTTATCGTAACCTAGACAAAATCAACCCCCCCAAAAAAAAAAAAAGTGACTTTCTTCCAACGAGAGAGAGAGAGAGAGAGACACATGCAAACCAGTACCATGTCTAGAAAATGGCAGGATTTGTAGCCCTTTTTTCTTTTGACGTTGAAAAGTTCAGCATTCATATGAAGTCGAAGAAAAGAATAATTTCCTGAAGGACTTTGTAAGTGGCAAATAAACTATAAATGACATTGGTCTCAAAATAGGTGGGTAAAATAACCCACTGACAACTCTTTGCTCCAATAAAGCAGCCAGCTATTGTGACAAATGACAAAACTGATACAATGACTCTCAATTATGTCATATCAAGCATTTTCCCTTTCCTAGATAAATAATCTTAAAGGAGGACGCAAGATCATATAGAAGAAATGATCCAGCTGACAATGATAGCAACTAGGCACTCCTCGGAAACAATATATTTATAGTGCTATACATGGCATTAAATGTCTGTTCTAATCAACAAAATACACTAGTACACTAATGACTCCAATTCATAATCCAAATATTAGTACATTTTTGCTTGAAGGTCCCACACTGAACGGTGAAGAAATTTTACTTTTTGTAAAGCAACATTGAAGCTAAAACATGGAGAACTACTGTCTTATAGTTCTAGAGGGGAAGTTGCAAACCATCAACTCAAAAAACGGCAGTATTGCGTGGCTATATGGTTTAAAATAGGCATTTTTGAAGTAAACATACTTTGGTCTCCTAATGATAACATTGTGCCCATCACTCAGTTGATCAAGAGAACAAATCCAGCACTTGCAACTAGCAGACAAATTCAAATGAGCTAAGTAAGCCTTCACCATTCTGGTTGAACCACAGCATTATACGTTCCAGATAAAACTGGTCTGTTACCGTTTTTCCTATATTTTTAGTTATGACTCCAACTTTTGCAACGACTCCCCTTTGGGTATTCAATAACTAAAATTTTCAGTTATTTGATTGATGACTCCAGCTTTCACAAACTCTAATTTGTTGCTAATACAAACTTGTTTGGCATAAGAAAAATATATTCAAAATATAAAAAGTAATACATCCAGGACGAGCAGTTTGGGACAAGGCTTTGTTGAGTTGAGTTTATCAAAGACGAGCAGACCCAAGCTAAATGGACATAATGAGCCTGGTAAATTACTACTATGAATACAAGTAAAAAACCCATGCAAATATTCCCCTTGTGGCTAATTCCTCAATCAGGGAAATCCTTTGCTTTAAAGCAAACTACCAAAAGGGCATTACACACAAACAAAAGGAAAAACTAACCTTCATCGCTAAAATGAGAATCGAAAACAACATTTGTGAGCTGCTGCTTCAGAAACACCTGCATTCATATTTTAAGACAGCTAAAATAGTTTAAATGGTTAAACTCAGTAACATGGCAACTTTGTGCATCCAATACTTAGGTAGCTACTCATTAAAACTGAGGCAAGATTCTTTAAAGACTAAACACAAGTATATGCCTTAACCACAATTATATGATTTTAGGATTGCCACAAGACTAGTGGACCCTATCTAAGCTTATTGTAAGACAGGCTTAACATTCACAAGTGCAGTACAATCCTTCTAACATCAATCTTCTAAAGCACAATAGAGTCAGTGAAACATATACAGTACATATAACTATTTGGTAGCAGGAGCCTGGTATCATACCGCAGAAAGAAGTTGCCGCGACTTTATATCCCAAACGNATCAATCTTCTAAAGCACAATAGAGTCAGTGAAACATATACAGTACATATAACTATTGGTAGCAGGAGCCTGGTATCATACCGCAGAAAGAAGTTGCCGCGACTTTATATCCCAAACACGTAAAAAGCTGTCCAGTCCTAGTAAAAACATCAAATTTTTAATTCAGCAGTTGTGACTTGTGAGAGAGAAATTAGAAGTTGGCACCTAATCGTTATGAGAGTTCATGCAGATTTGCAACCTTTGACCCGCAGATGCATTAGATGTAAGATGTCAACTTGGGCACCATACTTTTTGTACCAAAATTAAAATGAAGAAAATAAGACGGAAGAATTAGAGTAATACAAGGTTAAATCTATTTGAATCTGTGGAACTGACTTGACCATCATACAAGAAGTGCTTTTTATTCCGTCGTAGAGATTAAATTGACATTCAGCACAAAATGAACACATCAATTTTCCCCCAAAACAAGGGACATCATCGCATATTGAACAAGTCATGTCCTGTGCATGTTGAAATTTCTACCATAACACTTACCACATGAGACTATCACTGGGTGCTCTGGGTGCCTGGCAATGGATCTTATACTCCCAGAACATTTCCCCAAAAAGCATCCCAACAGTTTCCCTGTGATAATTAAAAAAGCGAGTGCTTAAATGGCAGGCTCACAATTCACCATATACATAGACTTCAGAATGACAAATCTCAAAAAATAAGTAAGCCACAATTAATTTTAGACCAACTCTCTTCAGATACCACAAGTCCAAAGACATAAAAGAGAGAAGAAGTTTCTTAAGAGAGAGACTATTGTTACACATAATTCAGTTAAACAAGGCATGCTAAAGCAGTGTGAAACTCACAGATGATATAGAACAGAATTCATGTGAAGTATGGAAGGGCAATTGACAATGTGAAATAAACTTGTAACAAAATAGCATAAGTGATCATTCTGGTAAGGTTTTCTAAGCATACATACAATCACAATGTGGATGTGGTAAACAGCATTCAACATCAAAAACTTGCTGAAAACCTTATAAATGAGTGACACTCAAGAATCAAGATACATATTTAAATGTAGGACCAACTTCCCTTTACCTCCCTATGGTATGCCCCAAATGCACTTTACTTTAAGTTTTAAAAATGTCAACATAACACTCACATGGTTTGTGGACTAAATTGCAAAGTTACATTTTCCACCCAATTTAACGTTTCGTGTGAGCCACGCACCAAAAAAGAGAGTTGGTGTAAAAATAGATTTTAAAAGGACAAAACTACCCCACCTAAACACCGAGTCTCTCTCTCTCTCACACACACACACTTTAGACATTACTGCAACCATCTGGCAACAAGTCCAAACCTTACTTTTCTCTTCATGTTTTTCTTTTCTCTAGTGAGTCCACTATCAGCAGCCACTTCTCCTTAGTGAGGCTCTAATCATGAAGTGAACAAAAATTCTGGAAGTTGAAATAGAAGAAGAAGAAGACACTTGTTGCAGGGACCAGATAAAGGTTGCAATGATGCTGGTTATTGATGAAACAAATGGCCAAGGTTCGGGTGTCAATAGTGTCAAGTTGTGGTTTAAATATTTAATAAACTGAAAGTGAAAGACGAAGCTTTTACAACTAGAAGGGCAGGAGGATCAAATTAGTCATCTGGGTGCACTTCACTCAGACCTATTGCCTTCATTACCAGCTGACTTTTCTGTAATGTTGAATTTTTTTTCAAAAAATCTGTAATGTTGAAAATTACCAGCTGAATTTTCTGTAATGTTGAAAAATCTTCATGACTTTTCAACAAATTTTCTATCTTCCGAAAAATTAAAGCTGGAAATTTCTGAGAATGACGAGATATTTCATCAAAATCTATTAAAACAGTGTTTGTTGTGTTGTATCGTCCTTCATGGTCGATGGTGGTGGGTTTTAGAGAGAGAATGACGAGATGTTGTAGATAGGTCGGCTGGAGGAGAAGGGGTGAGAGTTTACAGAGGTTGGAGGAGAAAGATGGGTAGGAACGTCATTTTAGATTTTCCGTTAACTGAGTTAGCATTGGGATTCAGTCCACAAACCATGTGAGGGTTATGTGGACATTTTTAAAACTCAAGAGAGTAAAATGCATTTGGAGCAAACCACGAGGAGGTAAAGTGAAGTTTGCCCTTAAATGTATTAGGCAGCAGCTTTGAACTATAAAGGAAAATGAACATAGTTTGCTTGGAGTACATTCCATTGGATACTTTTCCAAACAAAAACAGCTTGACTTGATATTATGAAGAACATACAACTGGCCCCGTTCACCATTCAATATCCAAAAGTTGAAAATAAGGAAAAATATGAGGTAAATGTGCAGTAATGTCTTATGTAGCATGATGCAAAATATAATTTAGTTTTCATAAGCAGGGCAGCACAATCTTTGAGGTTTCAAATCTAACACCTATAGGTATTAATTATAGGCAGGTCCCTCGACTGGTCAGTAGGGCTATTAAATGAACCAAGTAGCTGGGGCGCTCGGCTCCTTTTTGGTTCACTCGAGTTCTCCCATATTACAAAATGAGTCGAATGTAAACAAATTTTTAGGCTCGTTTTGCATCCAAGCCAAGCCCAAGCTATTTGCAAGCAAGCTCATTTTTATTTCCTATACAAAATATCCTTGTAAATTATTAAGAACTTCAAGGTCACTTTAGTAAAACTAACAAAATTATAATCTATTTACACAATTCATCAACTCACATCAATACCTATCCAACACAACATAAGGGTGCCATTGACAGACTCATCACGTGGCCACCTCCCCTCTCTCTCCCGGTCTCCCCCTTCCCCTTGAGCAACAAACCCTTTAGTGCATATCCCCTTCTTTTTAGTCTCTCTCTCTCCCTACAATTTTTATTTTTCTCCTTCACCCCTATCTCTCATTCTCCATAAACCCTTGCCTCTCTCGAGCTCTCTCTCAAACTCTGCTTGTTCTCTGTCTCAGTCTTTGTTTCTCACGATAACCCTCCAGATTTTAAACTTCACCACCCTTAACCTAAACCTAGTTCAAATCATTGACACCTAATCCCACTAAGTTGTTAAGGGTTGTACCAAGGTGCATAAATATATGTTTGTACATCCTATTTATAACTTTTGTTGTAATTTAGAATTTTTCGAGGCTAGGGTTTTTATTTTAGATTCATCTTTTTGTGAAATTTATGGCTCTGGGATGCTATTTTTCTTGAATTAGTGATTAAGAATTTGAAATTTGCAGATTTGTGGATTTAGAGTTTGTGGATTTGGGATTTATTTTCGGAGCTCATTTTTGGCACAAGCTTGGCTCAGCTGAAGCTTGTACCTAACCAAGCTTGCGCAATAATTTAGGCTCAGTGTCCGAGCCCGAACCGATCTTGAACAAACCAAAGGTCGGTAGGCTCGCTCAACACCCCTACTAGTCACTTTTTCCCAACTCAGAATATTTTTAACATATTCTCAAAAACTAATCATGCTTTTTAACTGCTACAANTGAAGCTTGTACCTAACCAAGCTTGCGCAATAATTTAGGCTCAGTGTCCGAGCCCGAGCCGATCTTGAACAAACCAAAGGTCGGTAGGCTCGCTCAACACCCCTAACTAGTCACTTTTTCCCAACTCAGAATATTTTTAACATATTCTCAAAAACTAATCATGCTTTTTAACTGCTACACNTATAGGCAGGTCCCTCGACTGGTCAGTAGGGCTATTAAATGAACCAAGTAGCTGGGGCGCTCGGCTCCTTTTTGGTTCACTCGAGTTCTCCCATATTACAAAATGAGTCGAATGTAAACAAATTTTTAGGCTCGTTTTGCATCCAAGCCAAGCCCAAGCTATTTGCAAGCAAGCTCATTTTTATTTCCTATACAAAATATCCTTGTAAATTATTAAGAACTTCAAGGTCACTTTAGTAAAACTAACAAAATTATAATCTATTTACACAATTCATCAACTCACATCAATACCTATCCAACACAACATAAGGGTGCCATTGACAGACTCATCACGTGGCCACCTCCCCTCTCTCCCGGTCTCCCCCTTCCCCTTGAGCAACAAACCCTTTAGTGCATATCCCCTTCTTTTTAGTCTCTCTCTCTCCCTACAATTTTTATTTTTCTCCTTCACCCCTATCTCTCATTCTCCATAAACCCTTGCCTCTCTCGAGCTCTCTCTCAAACTCTGCTTGTTCTCTGTCTCAGTCTTTGTTTCTCACGATAACCCTCCAGATTTTAAACTTCACCACCCTTAACCTAAACCTAGTTCAAATCATTGACACCTAATCCCACTAAGTTGTTAAGGGTTGTACCAAGGTGCATAAATATATGTTTGTACATCCTATTTATAACTTTTGTTGTAATTTAGAATTTTTCGAGGCTAGGGTTTTTATTTTAGATTCATCTTTTTGTGAAATTTATGGCTCTGGGATGCTATTTTTCTTGAATTAGTGATTAAGAATTTGAAATTTGCAGATTTGTGGATTTAGAGTTTGTGGATTTGGGATTTATTTTCGGAGCTCATTTTTGGCACAAGCTTGGCTCAGCTGAAGCTTGTACCTAACCAAGCTTGCGCAATAATTTAGGCTCAGTGTCCGAGCCCGAACCGATCTTGAACAAACCAAAGGTCGGTAGGCTCGCTCAACACCCCTACTAGTCACTTTTTCCCAACTCAGAATATTTTTAACATATTCTCAAAAACTAATCATGCTTTTTAACTGCTACAATAACTACAATTGCGAATTTAAAATGCAGAATCTGTGTTAAGCATTTCAATACAGCAGTGTATACTTCACATCACAAAGCCAAAAAGTAGATGGGAAAATTTCAAAATCAGGTCAATACATGTTGACAGTACTGTATACCTGTGCGCATGTCAACAGAAGCAAGGTCACCAGACCCATTCCCTATATATACAGTCTGACCATCCAAGTCTTCAGCAACTGCTTTAATGGTGGTCTCTCGAAAATCAAATGACATAACGGGTCTTCTCTGAGCAGAAATATCATAGAGACGCACCTGCAGACAATAATCAGGTTAAACCTCTCTGAATTAACTGATGTTTTTTGATGAACTTACTGAAGATACTAGTGACCAAACACACTCACAAATGAACGTGTGTCCACGAATGGAACTGCAAATTTTGGTCTTATGTGAAGTTAAGCATGTGAGAATGACTGGATTTCGGACAAAGATTCAGCAACCATGCTTTAATTATTAACACTTTTCATGGCAAACTTATTTGATGCTAATGCAGTCGTCTTAGGGGAGATGAGAAAAAACCGGAACCAAAAAAAAATTCAGACCACAATTACATCTCCTTAAAGAAGCTTGCCCAAAAAAAATTTTATATTCTCTTTTTTTTTTTCACCCAAATTCGTTATCATTTATATCAAAACGATCTCCCCTAATTCAGATTAGACATATTTATCTTTAGTGATTTTCTTCCAACAATAATCTAAGATTAAAGATTGAATAGGAATGTAATCTTTGCAAATAACAATAGCATAGAACATCCATTTTTTTGAGAAAACATAAAAGATTATGAGAAAAGTCACCATGAATGACCACATAAGACCAGCCAAAAAAAAACCATGCAAGTGGCAACAGGGAAAGTGACCAAAATTTGGACTATGCTCACTTAAAATTTTAAGGAATATGTAATCAATTTTATGTTAGTTTGACTGAAGGAAGCCGAATTCCATAAATGCTTCTAAATATCAACCACAAAACGAGCAAGCCAACAGTGACATTCAAAATCGATATCAACATAAACAAATAAATACATTAGTTCTGCAACATTGGTCAATGAAGCTGGGGCCCAAAAAGTCTCTCCCATAGAAGGATGGAGCATATGGTATGTAGTATAACAGTAGAGAGGAATTCTGTATAAAAAATTACCTGATGGTTGTTGGTGCCTGTCACAAATTTACGGTGATCATCTTTACTAATGAATGTTGCAGATGTAAACCAAGTTGGCGTAAATATACCAAGGCTGTTTTTAGGAGGCTGCACAAGATGGATACAACTAATTAAATGCTTGAGCTATTTGCTCGCAGCAGTTAAGGTTGTCATTCACATCCAAAAAGGCATAAATGGGAAGAAAAGAGGAACCCACTGATTTCGCAGTCCAGATTTTCGTACACTTGTCAAGATCCCACACATTAGCTTCAACTCCCTTCCTGAGCTCAAACCAACATCAAGATCTCTTAATAAGTGAGTCACCAAAACTCCAAAAAACTTATATGCAAGAGTTAAGATATGGAAACTCACCCTCCAAATAAAGCATAATTTTCACTTCCATCCACTTTAGAGCACACAATATTACCGGAACTACAAACATTCCAGGTTACTGGAGTGCCATTTGAGATCGATTCCACTGGTGATTTGGAGAATTCAATAGACCTCATGCTTGCGTGCCCTTTTGTTGTGCATGTAAACAAGGTACATGACCTATTTTAAGAGAAGACAAAAGGTTTCCAAAATTTACAATCCGCAAAATGTTAATGCTGTGATCGTAATTTATACTGATCACAAACTACAGTAAGTCAAGGAACCATGCCTGAAAATTGCAAAAAGAATGGTAACTTTGAGTGTGAAACGCAACTAGCAAATCATGATATATCCTTTAGTACACATGCCTATTTCACACAGCCTTGAAGTAAGAATTTTTTTCAGAAATGGAAATTGAATAACATGATCCAAACACAAGGTTTATTACCAGACTATTTCTCCAAAGCAGCATCTTAGAAAGCAAAGTATGAGAGATAAAAGGGAGGGGCCAACTCCCTTGGTCAACAGATACTAAAAGCTTAAAGCTCCACCAGTAAAATATCTTGTTTGACAGAAACATAATACTAGCAGAAGTCTTCTAACTTGCTTCAGAATTTGATTTAGGTTATGATGTTTCTTTGGCTCAGTTGCCAGAAAAATTTAAATCTGACAGGTTAAGAGGAATGGGACATCATAAACTATATCAAAAAATAACAAAACACGCAAGAAAGCAAGCAGAGAATGAAACCTGGATGATGAATCTGATATCTGTTTCTTGAATAAATGCAACCCAACAATGGCATCATCTTCAGGTTGAACGTCAGATTGACAAACACTAGGAACTAAACCACGAAGATCCCCATTTATAGGATTAAGCACCTCAGTCTGTAGTGAAAATCAGTAATAAACATGGCTTAGAACTTAAAATCTCCAGCAAGGACCAAGAACACGAGAGACGTCCTTAGTTTCATAGCAGAGAAGGAACTCACCACACCACTTTTCCTTGCAACAGCTAATAACTGCAACAGGTTTAAAATAAACAAACAAACAAGGGGTCAAAAATCTCAATGTCGATATTTAGGCAGTAGAACATTCAAATATTTAATGTCTACAAATATGTATCCAATCCATATAAAAACACTAAAGTTGTGCTGGTAGCACGGAAACTCGCACTTTGGAATTGGGAACGAAGAGTATGTCAATTCGAACTTTAAACTAATATTCATCAAATTATAATTCCACCATGTGAATTATGCATTGCCTAACTCAGCGTAAGTTAAATTTGAAATAGTTAAATCATTAGTACTCAACAAACACTGAAGTAGAACTGAAAAAAAAAACTATATCCCCAATAAAATGGACCTAAAACATAATATATATGGTTCAATGTTTGTATAAAATGATATGATAAGGAATTAAACAAAGAGCAAAAAATTGAAACATACCNTATCCCCAATAAAATGGACCTAAAACATAATATATATGGTTCAATGTTTGTATAAAACGATATGATAAGGAATTAAACAAAGAGCAAAAAATTGAAACATACCGGGTCAAATTTACTGTCATTAATCGACGCGGCGAGGACATGTCTCGAGGTGTCTGGCTCACCCCATCTCTCCACCACCTTAGGAACTCCTCCTTGCTTAGCACGAGCTTCAACAACTACCCATAATCACCAAAACATCAAGAAAATTCATGAAAACACACACATACACACATCTATCTATACACAACAAACAGAAACATATACAAAATTAAAAGACGTCACCTTTAACAAGACCAAGAACATCGAAGGTTAGGACTCGAATTGGAGGGCAACCAGGGCACTCCACTGTAGTTGTACGAGGCATCTTCTGTTTTGTGTCCTCTCCCCAGCTAGGCAACCAAACAACAGCACTCGCTCAATGATCTGTACATACAAATTTGTGTTTTTGTGTGTTTGTGTGTGTGTGAGTGAGAGAGAGAGCTGCTCACTTACTGCAGAAGGAAGGAAGGAAGAGAGAGCAAGCAGAAAGCGCAGACGTAGAGGCAAGGAAGCGATCGGCCGAAGTGCCTGGTAAGATTTGATGGGGAGGCCCTAAATGTATTGGGCTACGCACCAATAACGGTTGAAGCCCATAGTGCAATATTTAGGAAAAATCGGAAGAAGGTATGTGAAATTCGATTTAATTGTAAAACAAATTTAGTGAAAATTGGAAGTGAGTTTTCCTACATATACTTGTTTGAAGATAAGTCTTACAAGAAAACTTACACGGGGTTAAGTTTATATTTAAAATTATATGTAATTATTTAAATTTATTTTTTTTTATCACAAAAATACTCTATCTTGAAAGGAAATTAATCTTTTCTCTCTCGTATCTATCTTTATTCATATATAAGTTAAAAATTTGACTAATATTAAAATTTTATCTCTCTTTTATCTATCTATATCTATATATAGGTTCGGTANTACGCACCAATAACGGTTGAAGCCCATAGTGCAATATTTAGGAAAAATCGGAAGAAGATATGTCAAATTAGATTTAATTGTAAAAAAAATTTAGTGAAAATTGGAAGTGAGTTTTTCTAAATATACTTGTTTGAAGATAAGTCTTACAAGAAAACTTACACGGGGTTAAGTTTATATTTAAAATTATATGTAATGATTTAAATTTATTTTTTTTTATCACAAAAATACTCTATCTTGAAAGGAAATTAATTTTTTCTCTCTCGTATCTATCTTTATTCATATATAAGTTAAAAATTTGACTAACATTAAAATTTTATCTCTCTTTTATCTATCTATATCTATATATAGGTTCGGTATATATATATATAGTAACATTAAAAAAAAAGTTACTATGAATTTGAATTCATGTTACTTTTTTTTTATTATGTTACTGTTCATATTACTGTTTTTCTTAAGTATGTTACTATTCATGTATTGATATTTTTGAGCATGTTATTGTTTTTATTGACCGTGTTGCTACTATTATTTTCCTAAATATTAATATTTAATGTTACTATTTTTTTTTTTGAATAATACTATTTTTTGTATTTGAATAGTACTATTTTTTGCGTTTAAATTTGAGAGAAATAATTATTGTTAAGTATGTTACAGTTTTTGTTAAGCATGTTACTTTTTGTTGTTGAACATGTTAATATTTTTGTTGAACATGTTACTGTTGTTATTTTTTAAAAATATTAATATTGAATGTTTCAATTTTTTTTGTGTTTAAATGTATTATTTTTTGTGTCCAAATGATAAATTTTTATTTTATTTTAATGTTACTATTTTTTATTTTTAATGTTACTATATATATATGCACACACACACACACATATATATATATAACTTATATATAGATAGATAAGAGAGAGATAAAATTTTAATGTTAGTTAAACTTTTAACCTATATATGCATATAGATAGATATGAGAGAGAACAAATTTTAATGTTAGTCAAACTCCTAAGATTTAGGAGTTTTTAATTTTTAGTTTTATTTCACTTTTAAAGAGAATAGATAGTATGGTAAAATTAACAAAAAACGGACTTCATAACAAATAAGTTTTTTTGACGGACTTAAGTCCAAATAAATCCATATAGGGGGACCGACCTCCAAATTTTTCAAAAATATATAACAAAAAAATATTGGGTAATTAAGTCCTTAATTTTGATACTTATTTATATCTAAGTACATTATTTGAATTTACTGACTTTTTTGTAACGTTTTTGCCCTCCATTAATCTATGTGTATTTAATGCACCACTTTTCTTTGGAAAGTGATACATTAAACGTCTCTTAGTTTTATGAGAGAATTTTAATACATATTTTTGTATATATATATATATATATATACTTGTTTTAATTTCAAAATTTGTATTCATGTATATATAAAAACGTATATGTATATAAATTATATTTTCATGTACATTAATTCATGCGTTATATATATATATATATATATATATATACACTTATGTATGTATGTATATACTTGTTAAATTTCTTATCTAAATTTTGAATTATCTTTTAATCCACCTTGATTCATGCATTTTTTTTTTAAAGTGGTTTTATTTTTAAATTAATTTAATATCCAAATAGTGTAATATTGTAACAATAACAGTGTAACAATAAAAGTGTAATAGTGTAACAATAAAATTCTAACAATGTAACAAGTTATTTACATAAAATATTGTACTATTACATTTTGTCAAACATATAGTTTCATATAATTTCATTTAAATTAATCCATTTCTGTTTTGAATTTGTTACCACATACACAAAATTATTGAACACTATGTTTGTTATAGTGTATTTGTTACATTGTTACACAATTACATTATTCGAATATTAAATTAATTTAAAAATAAAACTATTTTCTAAAAAAAAAATCGTTTGAATCAAGGTGCATTAAATATAATTTGAAAACAAAATTACTTTCAAANTGAATGTTTCAATTTTTTTTGTGTTTAAATGTATTATTTTTTGTGTCCAAATGATAACTTTTTATTTTATTTTAATGTTACTATATATATATGCACACACACACACACACACACACATATATATATATATATATAACTTATATATAGATAGATAAGAGAGAGAGAAAATTTTAATATTAGTTAAACTTTTAACCTATATATGCATATAGATAGATACNTTTTTCAAAATATTTTATTTTATATACTTTTTGTCAAATAAATTTAATTAGGTGTACTGAGTTCCAAAGAACCCAAATATTTATAGGCTAACCTAACAAAAAGTCCACGTAAACTCAAATGCACATCCTTAAGACACAAATTAAAATTTTTTACTTATAATAATGTCACATAATTTAATCTCTATTTTTTATCGTCATGTTAATCCAACGACATTCCAAACATATCGNGTCAAACTCCTAAGATTTAGGAGTTTTTAATTTTTAGTTTTATTTCACTTTTAAAGATAATAGATAGTATGGTAAAATTAAAAAAAAACGGACTTCATAACAAATAAGTTTTTTTGACGGACTTAAGTTNTATTTCAAATGCATTTTTTTATAGGCAAACAATATAATAGGGTTCTTTTCTCATTTAAATAAATAATATGGCAAAAGAAATTGTAATCTTTGTCAAGGGCAATATTTTTTTTTCTATTACACAAAATTGATATGGACAAAAAAATCTCAAGTTTATAAAAATTCAGGTGATACTTGAATTGGTTTCTGAACTTGAGCCAAATTTATTAATTTGGATTCAATCCGAATTTAACCAAATTTCAACCCCAAAATTCATCCAAAATTGGGCCTAAGCTGTAAAACCCGAGTTCTACCCAAATTGAAAAAATATAAACTTGAGAGTAATACTCGGGTTTAAATAAGTATTATGTCAATATAATTTGTTAAATTAATAAATTTCACTAACTCCACTAATTATTGAATAATTAAAATATTATTACATTATTTGGTGTACAAATTTGATGCACGCAATATTTTCCCGTGGTATATACATTTGAGCANTTCTTATCTAAATTTTGAATTATCTTTTAATCCACCTTGATTCATGCATTTTTTTTTAAAGTGGTTTTATTTTCAAAATAATTTAATATCCAAATAGTGTAATATTGTAACAATAACAGTGTAACAATAAAAGTGTAATAGTGTAACAATAAAAGTCTAACAGTGTAACAAGTTATTTACATAAAATATTGTACTATTATATTTTGTCAAACATATAGTTTCATATAATTTCATTCAAATTAATCCATCTCTGTTTTGAATTTGTTACCACATACACAAAATTATTGAACACTATGTTTGTTATAGTGTATTTGTTACACTGTTACACAATTACATTATTTGGATATTAAATTAATTTAAAAATAAAACCATTTTCTAAAAAAAAAACCGTTTGAATCAAGGTGCATTAAATATAATTTGAAAACAAAATTACTTTCAACAAAAAGAAAATGCATGAATTAAGGTGCATTAAAGATAATTCAAAATTTAAATAAGAGATTTAACAACAGGTATACACACACACACACACACATATATATATATATATATTAATATTAGCATGTATTAGCAAATACACATGAATCAAGGTGCATTAAATAGATATTTATATGTATTAACAAACACACGTGAATCAAAGTGCATTAAAGATAATACATTTTGAATTAAATGACCCTAAAATAAGTATTTATGTCTTTGTAACTCAACTGTGTATTTTTTTTTCAAAATATTTTATTTTATATACTTTTTGTCAAATAAATTTAATTAGGTGTACTGAGTTCCAAAGAACCCAAATATTTATAGGCTAACCTAACAAAAGGCCCACGTAAACTCAAATGCACATCCTTAAGACACAAATTAAATTTTTTTACTTATAATAATGTTACATAATTTAATCTCTATTTTTTGTCGTCATGTTAATCCAACGACATTCCAAACATATCACATAATTCTCTCATATTTCAAATGCATTTTTTTATAGGCAAACAATATAATAGGGTTCTTTTCTCATTTAAATAAATAATATGGCAAAAGAAATTGTAATCTTTGTCAAGGGCAATATTTTTTTTTCTATTACACAAAATTGATATGGACAAAAAAATCTCAAGTTTATATAAATTCAGGTGATACTTGAATTGGTTTCTGAACTTGAGCCAAATTTATTAATTTGGATTCAATCCGAATTTAACCAAATTTCAACCCCAAAATTCATCCAAAATTGGGCCTAAGCTGTAAAACCCAAGTTCTACCCAAATTAAAAAAATATAAACTTGAGAGTAATACTCGGGTTTAAATAAGTATTATGTCAATATAATTTGTTAAATTAATAAACTTCACTAACTCCATTAATTATTGAATAATTAAAATATT